TTTGTGCTGGTCCTCTGCCTGCGACAGCCGCTTGCTACGACCAGGACGACCACAGCAAAAGGAGCAGCAGCAGCAAGAACAACAGCAACAACAACACCAGTAGCAACAACCACAACAATATCAACAACTACCACAACAACAGCAAGAGCGGCAACAACAACAAGAACAGCAGCCGCAAGACGACCGCTACCGGTACATACAAACACCACCACCATCACTGCCACTACTGTACTGCTACCGCCGCTACTGCTGCTGCTGCTCCTCCTACTACTACTACCACCACTACTACTAGTACACTTACATAATTCCTGCTACTGCTACCACTGCTACTGCGACCACCATCACCAGAAAAACCTCTTTGACTTCTATGAGGCAGAGCCCACTTTTTAGCGGCCTCATGGTCCGGAGCCCTGAAGACTCGACACGGATCGGAGTTTAGGTTTCGGGTTCCGAGTCGAGGGTTGTGTATCGGGGTTGAGGGGGCTTGAGGTTTTGGGGTTAAAGGTTGAAGTTGTGGGCTTGGTGTTCCATACTTCGTGCTTCAGGATGCCTATGTATTGTCGGCGCCCTGTGTTGTCGCGAAGCTTGTGGTTGGTAGGAGCTTGTATATAACATTCAAGAACTACTCCGAGAACAAGAGCTTCAGGACTTCGGAGGTGCACTGAAGTCTCGGGGCGTGAGGCTTCATGGTTCTAGGTCTCCAGACATTTTGAGGTTGTGCATGCAGGAGCAGCTTTTCGGGGCTTCTGGGTTCGTAGCTTCGGGCCTCTACTCTAAAGTCTCTATCCTGAGCCTGCGAGCTTTACACCCCGAAGGCGCAGCCATTTGAACCGTAATCGAGGTTCAATTACAGTGAGAATTGCAGCAAGAGAAGGAATGTTAGCAGGCCGAAGCCCACGGCATCTACCAAGATCTTACCCCTAAACCCTAACCCTGAACCCTAAGCCCTGAACCAGGTTCTTGTGCTGATGGTCACGCCTGCGCTGTTCCTTTGTGTTGCATTTGTTGGGAGCCCTGCAGCCCGTGCTCCTGGTTTAGGAGCTATACGGTTAGGGTTTAGGGTTTGCGGTTTCGGGTCAGGCAAAATTTGGCGTTTAGGGTCCCGGTCGTTGGTCTTCCACTCAAACCTCGGTTGCAGTTCAGAGGGACCCAGTGTCGTGGATTCCACGTCTGCGTAAACTGTGGGAGTATCGGAGTTTCGACACTAATCAGGCTCTGAATACTAGGATACTAGGATCCTTACCGGGCGTCTAAACGGGAGCCCCCGAAACAATTGTGGGAGCCGCCCCCGCAATATCTTATCTGTGGAATCCGCACGAACTTATCGGTCTGGTCTGCTCAGAAGTAGCGGTTTACCGGTTACTGGGGTTTCTTTGGGTTCCGCACTAACTATGTCTGTATCATGTCTTGTTTTCAGAACGGGGAGCAGAAACCCCGGGAGTAGTGCACAGGAGGGATCAGATCCTCAGATGATGGACTTCTGGCAATGCGAAGCCTCCTGCCTGAGGCAAGAATCATGCTTTTCAGACACTTCTTCGACCCGATTTGGGCCAGGCCGCTGTGCAATGGAGAAGTCCGAGGGAAGACAATTAATATTCCCGAGGCTTCCCCCATATATATATATATATATATATATATATATATATATATACATGGATAATGAGAACAATAACAACAAGAATAATAGAGAGAGAGAGAGAGAGAGAGAGAGAGAGAGAGAGAGAGAGACCGAGAGTGTGTGAAAGTGATGTAAGCAACAAATCCCACGCCTTCCCTCGAGTTCGAACATGGTTCACTCAGTGTCAGGGCCGATCGGGATGACAAACTACTTGGCACTGCAGCTTCCATCAGCAAATTGGGGGGGGAATTTTGGATTTCCGGCTCCTTGTCTCTCGTGCCGCATGCTTTGCAGCAGCATGTTGATTTGTGGAAGTTGCTTTCCTTCCGATGCCTCCACCCAGCCGCAGCTCCTCTTGAAGCGCCTCAAACTTACTGCCAGAAATCGGGGCTCGAACTCTTAAGACCGAACCGGAGGGCTGACCTACGTTGGTCTACGAAAGAACCCGCATAGCTGTGCTTAGGTATTGTTTGCTCATAGAGCCTGCCTTTCAACCGAAAGTTCTGAGACAAAAATCTCGGCCGCTACGAGATGCTTGCCTTAACCGGTTGGAACCTGCAGCCAGACAAACGCAGCACAAAGTGTGGAGCTATATGAATTCCTCTTTTAAAACTTAAACCCAATGCCCCCCAGAACCCTTCAAGCCACATAAATTGAGAACCTAGACCTCGCAACCAAAAGCCCTTCGACCCTCAACCTATTCTGAACTTTTAGCAGATACACCCTGAAACTTATGACTAAGAACCTTTAAACAACCCTTAGGCAACCAAACCCCGAACCCCCCCAACTTCACTTAAAGCCCCAAGGGAGCCCTGCAAGGCGACTTTGGTACCTGGAGCAGCTCCTGAAACCCTGGGCCCGCTCCTCCTTTTGGGGTTTTACCTGTAGCCGAAAAGACCTACCTTTTTAGGGTTCCTTATTATGGTGTCTATATATAGTTCCTCAAAAGGTAGGTCTTTTCGGCTACAGGTAGGGTTTAGCTCAGGGTTTAGGCATTTTTCGGGGAATCGGTGTGGGCATCAGTGGGGTTTAGGTTTTAGGGCTTGAAGGCCCAGGAATCAAGTTAAGGGTGCATGCTTCGGGTTTCCGGCCCAGGCATGAGTGATCAGGCATCACCAGTTGGGTGAGTGCTCGGCGGGTGCAAGAACGATGGGGGTTTAGACAGACAGTGTCGACAATTGGGATCTTCAAATCGTGCTTCAAGCGTGGCTACTTCTGATTCTGTCTAAATCTGAGGTTTCTGCTGAAAGTCGGTTTGGGGTTTATAGAAGTACCTTGTGTACATGAGCTTCAGGCGTTCCTCCTGTTCTTGCCAACTCAACACACCTTCGTGCTGCCTTTTGTCGGTCACCCGATATCACAGCCACACCGTCACATTTGGCAAAAACTCTCCTAGACAGATCTTTCATGAGTTGGTTCCATATTTGTCCATCATCAGTTCGTTTGGTGCGTGGGTTCCCTGAAAGCCCAGTCCGACCCGAGTTTTTCACAGCCTGAGGTCATGGGAGATGTCGCTGCGGTGTCCATTACTTCCCTCTTCCTGTCTATTCAGGACTGCAATTTGCACGGTACTTCCTCTCTGACTTGTGAGTTTGAGAGGGCTCAGGGTCTGAAGCAAGCCCGCCAGGGTACTCAAAGATGTACAAAGAAATCCTTACGACACTACGATAAAGGGTGCAGGGCCCCGGGAGGTCTCAGCATGCCGTTGGAAAATCCTACGCTTTGAACGATTACGTGTCCCTCCAAAACCCAAACCCTAAGCCGAGCCAAAGCACCGGAACCTGAACCTTAAATCTCAGAAGAATTAGACTCATCATCCTCCAGCCGTAATTCCCTTTTTGCACCGAAAACCTTCTTACACCCCAATCCTCTCCGCCCAAGCCCCTTCGGGACTTGATTTCCCACTTAGGAATTTTCTGACTGGTCATTCTTGTGGCTTCAACCGGACATTACGTAATCCAGAGAAGTGACCACTTGTTGCCAGGAGCCCTCCACGGATTTCGTCTTCCTCTGTGTGCGCCTGGCGCAGCCGATTCTTGGCCACAGCATGGCCGTGTAATCAGGCTTGAAAGGCTTCTTATGGCTTTATCGGGGGTATACTATACGGGCCTAAATTTTTGCCAATACTATTTTGGGGGTTCCTTGTTATAAGTATAGTGTTGTGGGCCCCAAAACCCTATTCCAATTATTAAGGCCCTTATAGTACTGGTCTTGCAGGCGCTAGGCGTTTGGTTGAGGCCCGAAACCTTGAGCAAGTTCTCGCTCCTTCCAAGGCCCTTGGGCTTCTTGGCATGCCTGGGGCAGGGCGTGGCTGTCAGCATGGCACGCTTCTACTTACCTTTGGTTAGTAGGGAATGGAGGAATGGGGTACGACTATAACTACTATTTCTACCATTCTTCCATTCCCTACTAACCAAAGGTAAGTCTAGTTGCGGTCCGTTGTGGTTTTGGCATCATCGTTCAGCTTTTGTTGGATTTGAGCAGCAGGGGCGCAGAGTTCAGATGTTTCGCGCGAGACCCGATCGATGCTTCGAGTGACTTGCAAACAGGCACGGCATAGTACCGTGTGGAAAGTCGAGGGTCTAGGGCAGTGCATGGCGTGCCTTTTCAGCTTTCGCCCTTCCTTGCGAACCCCTCTCGCCAGTGCTGGGGGATGCGCTGGTGTGCCTTGCCATTGCGCCCTGGCCGGGAGGCTGCATTCCAGGGACGGGGTAGTCGAAGTAGTGCAGGGAATTAGTGGCTGCCGTCGCCCTGGTGGGAGAAGCAGCTGCAGCAAGTAGCAGCAGCAGCAGAAGCAGCAGCAGCAGCAAGAGGAGCAGGAAAAGAGTAGGAGGAGGAGAAGTTGTTATTGCCATTGCAGTAGCGGTGGCAGCAGCAGTAGCAGTCGGAGTAGTAGCAGTAGTAGCAGCAGCAGCAACAGCAGAGACAGCAGCAGTAGTAGCAGTGTGTTGGTAGTCGTAGTAGTGCAAGTAATTACTGGTAGTAGTGGCAGTAGTGGTAGTAGTAGTGGTGGTAGTAGTAGTAGTAGCAGCAGTAGTAGTAGCAGTAGTAGTAGCAGTAGTAGTAGTAGTAGTAGTAGTAGTAGTAGTAGCTGATGTTGTAGTACGCGCCACGGTAGGGGTGGGGTGTAGTAGAGTAGTACTTGTAGTACTTGTAGTACTTGTAGTACTTGTAGTACTTGTAGTACTTGTAGTACTTGTAGTAGTAGTAGTAGTAGGAGTAGGAGTAGGAGTAGGAGTAGGAGTAGGAGTAGTAGTAGTAGTAGTAGGAGGAGGAGGACGACGAGGAGGACGAGCAGCAGCAGCAGCAGCAGTAGCAGAAACAGGAGAAGTAGTGGTCGTCGTGGTCGTGGTGGTGGTCGTGATCATGGTGGTCGTGATCGTGGTGGATGGTGGTGCTGGTGCTGGTGACGCCGGCGGCGGCGGGAGTATAGTAGTAAAGTAGCAGTAGCAGTGGCAGTAGCTTCGGCAATTTCAATAACGGGGCAATGGTGGGAAGTATTGGCCGATAGTGCAGTGGTGTTGGCAGTCTTTTCCGTGGTTCTACCAGTACCTCACATCACCGGCTTGTCCCCCCGAACAAACGAAAATCGATAAAGTAATGCACTCCAAGCAGTTGCTCAAGCTTTATGTAGCAGGACAAGTTTCCCAAACCTATCCGAGCCTAGGCCCCAAATCTGACGAGCTTCGATGCCCGAAGCACAAAGCCTGACTGTTTGAGAAGCTCCCACCTCGCACGTCCTGGGGAGGCGGCTGCCAACTCCAGTTCACACCTCAGATTTCCTACGTGATAATGCCTGATCCTGCATTGCTTTCGTGTCCCCAAACACCTGTATACACATTTGTGTACATGCATATGCGATGTCTGTGTGTGTGACTGTGTGAAGCGGAGCAACTCTGTCCCTCTCTCTCACTCTCACTTTCACTCTCCTCTCTCTCGCTCTCTATCTCTATCTCTATTTCTCTCTCTCTCTCTCTCTCTCTCTCTCTCTCTCTTTCTTTCTTTGTTTCTTGATTCTTTCTTTCTTTCTTTCTTTTCTCTCTCTCTCTCTCTCTCTCTCTCTCTCTCTCTCTCTCTCTCTTATACTCACTCACTCACTCACTCACTCACACAGACACGACAACTCTTAACATCTTTCGATGGCTCTATGGACCCTTCCATCTCTCTCTCTCTCTCTCTCTCTCTCTCTCTCTCTCCATGTTCATTTGCTTCAACGGCTACGTCTTCTCTACCTGTACCCATGCTGTATCCATTCCTTACCTGATCCATGTCTATATCTGTACCTCTACCTCTCTATCCGTCTCTCTACTCGATCGATCGATCGAACCATCGATCGGTCGATCTGCCTGTCCGTTTGTTTGTCTGTCTGTCTGTCTGCGTCTCTATCTGTCCATATGCTTTCTAGATAGCTGCCAGCTATCTATCTAGCTATCTACTTTATCTACCTACCTACCTATCTATCTATATATATATATATAAATGCATATATATATATATATATATATATCATTCTATTTCTCTCTGTCTCTGTCTCTCTCTCTGTTCTCTCTGTCTCTCTCGCTCTCTCGCTCTCTCTCTCTCTCTCTCTCTCTCTCTGTCTCTCTGGCTCTCTCTTTGTCTCTATCTATCTACCTATCTGATCTATCTGTCCATCAGTCTTTCTAGGTAGCTGCCAGTTATCCATCTATCGATCTTCCTAACTATCCGACTATCTACCTATCTATCTACCTATCTACTCAGCTACCTACCTATCTACCGAACAATCTTGAAACAACCTAGTACCATCTTTGCGGACGCATGTGCCTAAGTATGCACACAAGTGCAGCCTGCGAAGGTTCCCAACGGGTTCAGCCCATGGACGAAGCTAACGAGAGCAAGGCGCCACTACTTTTGGTCGCCTGGGCCTTGGAATATATATATATATATATATATATATATATATATATATACAGTTCCTCATTTCCCCATGGCAGTAGACTAGATGGGGCATGCCTAGGAATCGAAGTAGTGGGCCATTTTCGCCTTCAAGGGGTGTCCGTCGGGTGTACCTGCTGCATAGCGGTGTCTACAGGTCCTTTCGCGTACGGCCCATGGTTCTCAAAGTAGCAGAGGCAACGACGAGACTTCGGTGACTGAAGCCCAGTCCGCAGCTCCATGTTTAAATTGTAGGGCCAGCATCCCACCGAGCCAACAGCATCCAACCATCTCCAACCCAAGCTGTGCCTCAGCCTCAGCCCTTGAAGCCAAGGCTGAACTCAAAACCCGAAACCGCCCACCCTCAAAGCCACAACCCTACGTAAACCCTTCCCAAACGCTCGAGGCCCGCACTACTGGTTCTATCTAGTATACTCCACGAGATGATGCTGCTTCCAAGGCCTTCGATACAGCCGCGAAGTATTGCCAACCTGCTCCCAAGCAAGGCCTCGATCTGCAGCTGAACGTGAACATTTCGAAAAGAAATGCAACCTGTTAGGTGATGAAATCAGTGCAGGAGCTGTTGGAATGTTGTCATGGAGAGGAGGGCCTACAGTTGTCACCGCAACAAGCCAAGCTTAGCGGCTCCCTTTTTTGTTCTAGGCTTTCGGCAAGGACCCGTTTCGAGGGCAAAGAGCTTGGCCCCACACGTCATTGCACGACTACGACCGTGACTGGTGCACTCAGACTGCTGCTGCGACTGCTCCTACGGCGACGACGATCACTTGTGGTGTCACGGCCACTTGTGTCCCTATTGCTTCTGCCCGAGAGTCTAAATTAAACTACCCAGGTGGCGACAGAACTGGGGCATTTGTTTTGCACTTCCCAGGCTACGAAAGAATCAGCCAAATGTCGTGCATGTTTCAGCAGCCATGCCCACAAACTCGACTGGAATAAAGATCTTCGGGCTTGCGGTGTTATCAATTGCTTTTCCAAGTGCTCGGGTGTTGGACCTTTGTAAGCCTGAGTTCGAGCCTACACTCTTTACAGTCTAAACGCCCAGGGTTTAGGGCTTAGGGTTTAAGGCTTAGGGTTCGATCCCTTATAGATCCCTTATTGTAGATCCCTTCAAGGAGCCCTTAAGGATCCCTTAAAGGAACCCTCAAGGACGCATTCAGGCCTAAGTTCTTCCATGCTTCGCTAGATTTGCGAAGCCTGGGCAGGTGGAGCGCCACCCTGGACATTTTCCTGGCTTGCTTGCTTGGCCCAGGGCCCTGGCATTTCTCTCCCAGTACTTGGAGGTTCAGGGGTAGTTATAAGTAGGGTTAGAAGTAGGGTAACTATACTTAGAACCCATATTACGGGACTTGTAACCCCACTTATAACTACCCCTGAACCTCCAAGTAATGTATCGGAGTTGTAGTGGTGGTGACACCGGTAGTGGCGGCAGTAGTGCTTGTGGTAGCTGCATCAGTGGCGATAGCCGGCAGTAGTAGCAATAACAGTAGGACCAGGACTAGGACCAGAAGTAGAAGAAGCAGTAGTAGTAGTAGTAGTAGTAGTAGTAGTAGTAGTAGTAGTAGTAGTAGCAGCAGCAGCAGCAGCACTCGCACTCGCACTCGCACTCGCACTGGCACTGGCACTGGCACTGGCACTGGCACTGGCAGTAGTAGTAGCAGTAGTAGTCGTTGTTTTGGTTCGGCGCCATCGTAGACGTAGTCCGTCGTAGTAGTCGTCGCGGTTTTTGTAGTGGTGCTGGGGCTAGTGCTCGTGCTAAGTAGACGCAGGCGTAGGGGTCGTAGGAGAAGTAGCTTTCAATGAGTTTCAGTCCTCTTTCAAGCTCTTGGAAGCTCAAGCATGTGACTTGGAATCTGATTCTCGGCGCAATCAGTGGTTTCGGGTTTGCGGGATAAAGCTGAAACCTGAGTTTGATCAAATTGGCCTAGACGGGTCCTCATCAGCCTGGTCTGCCTGGAGCACTTGGGGCACCAAATCTTCGCCTTCAACTGGCTAGGTGGCCAGGCGTCTACCCATAGGCCCCAAAGTAGAAAAAGGAACTACTATGGGGCCTATGGGTAGATACTCAGCCCCTCAGCTTCACAGACCTTGTTTCCTGTTGCAGCCCCGAATCGCGAACGCCCGAAC